CTTTCAAAAATAAAACTCCAAGGGTCCCAAAAATCTTTTTCATCAGAAAAGGACACTAGACTTCTAAGATCTTTGAAACTTTGTCAAGTTGAAAAATTAGGTACTAGGGGTCTCCAACATTCTTTAAAACTTTTTCGTAAAATTAGTTACCAAAGATTCCGAGAATTTTTTCAGATTTTTTAAATTAAAAACTACACTAGGAGCCCCATGAGTCTTTTACATTAAAAAAAGGACACTAGAGGGAACTTTGAAAAATTAGGTACTTGGAGTTCCCAAGATTCTTTGAAACTTTTTCGTAAAATTAGGTATTGGTACCAAGGATCCCTAGGATTTTTTCCTTTTTTTTTTGAAAAATGAAGTACCAGAAGTCCCTGAGTTTCTTTGACACTCTTTCATACAATTAGATGCCAAGATCCCGTTTTTTTACACCAGCAATCTCTGAGCTTCTTTTAAACTCTTTCCAAAATTAAACACTAGGAATCCAAAAATAAAAATTTTGGAAATGTTTTCAAATTCTTTCAAAAATAAAACTCCAAGGGTCCCAAAAATCTTTTTCATCAGAAAAGGACACTACACTTCTAAGGTCTTTGAAACTTTGACAAGTTGAAAATTTAGGTACTAGGGGTCTCCAACATTCTTTAAAACTTTTTCGTAAAATTAGTTACCAAAGATCCCGAGAATTTTTTTAGATTTATAAATTAAAAACTAGACCAGGAGCCCCAAAAGTCTTTGACATTAAAAAAAGGACACTAGAGGGAACTTTGAAAGATTAGGTACTTGGAGTTCCCAAGATTCTTCGAAACTCTTTCGTAAAATTAGATATTGGTACCAAAGATCCCGAGGATTTTTTCCTTTTTTTTTTTGAAAAATGAAGTACCAGGAGTCCCTTAGTTTCTTTGAAACTCTTTCATACAATTAGATGCCAAGATCCCGTTTTTTAACACCAGCAATCTCTGAGCTTCTTTTAAACCCTTTCAAAAATTAAACACTAGGAATCCAAAAATAAAAATTTTGAAAATGTTTTCAAATTCTTTCAAAAATAAAACTCCAAGGGTCCCAAAAATCTTTTACAACCGAAAAGGACACAAGACTTCTAAGGTCTTTGAAACTTTGACAAGTTGAAAAATTAGGTACTAGGGGTCTCCAACATTCTTTAAAATTTTTTCGTAAAATTAGTTACCAAAGATCCGGAGAATTTTTTCAGTTTCAGAGCCCCAAAATTAAAGCCAAAGATTAAGCCCGACTTATATACCTGATCTGATCTAAATAATAATGAAATTGCAAAATCCATATTTTCTTACAAACATTTACTATTTTAAACGTGTTTTAGGTATTCTAAGAATAAAAAAATCATCACAATTGAGATGGGGTGGGTGGGAGTAGTTTATCTTTTGCCCTTTTGTCTTAATATACATAGTATTTTGTGAACAAGACGATACTCAAAAATATGTTTTGAATTTTTTGTAAAGGCAAGTACTTTGCAGTTAAGCTCCGGCCCCTTAGTTAACCGCCAATAAAAAAATCATCAGAATTGAGATAGGGTGGGTGGGCGGGCTTATATTTTGTCTGTTTTTTTCTTAATATACATAGCCATCTTTTCACAACAAAAAACTTAAAATATGGTTAAAATGGTACATTTTTGGAAGGAGATATGGATTTTGAAATTATGGTGCGGAGCCTAATTGCAAAATCGATATTTCCTTATACAAATTTACCAAGCCAAGAGGGCAGAGCTTAATTGCAAAATCCTTATTTTTCTACAAGAAATTACCATGCAAGACATATTTTTGAGCAACATGTTGTTCAAAAAATACTGCGTATATTAAAAATTAAAGCCAGATTGAGATCGAGACGGATGAGTGGATCTTTTAGCTTTCGTTTTTAGTTAATACATATAGTTTACTTTCAACAACACGATTACGGAAGAACATGTTCACATAGCAATTTCTCGTAGAAAAACAAGGATTTTGCAGTTAAGCTCCGCCCCACGATTTACGACGGGCCAAAAAAAAGTCATCACGATTGAGACAGGGTGGGTGGGCGGGGCGGATATTATGTCTTTTTTTCTTAACATAACTAGTCATTTGTTTAAACTCTTGTTGTGAAAAGATGACTACGTAAATTAAGAAAAAAAAAGAGCAAAATATAAAATATTAATATTAAAATAATATAGTTTTTAGTTCCTTTTGGATAAAATATTACAATAAATGTTTCATAACATCATCAAAGTATTGCAACCGAAATCGTACTTTATTTTGCACATTATTGGATCTTAACAAAAAAATAAGGTGACTGTATGTTTCTAGTGAGTTTTTCTATACAATTTTTTTTGATGACATTAACAACAATTTAGCAAGACTACTCTTTATGGAAAACGAATTAAATATTTGAACCTCGAGTAATTAACAGAGGATTCAATTATTGTAGAATGTAACAAAGGATTTCAATTTAAACTTAGTCGCGATTAACTTTTAATTCTACAGGGACATTTTTTTTACTCTGAACATATCACAAATAATGTATTGGAAGTATGCAACCAATATTACATCAAACCTACCTGATAATTAAAAAAAAAATGATTTTAACTTGTCAAAATATAATTTGAAAATCCGAGTATACAAACAATGTTTTATACAACAGAAGAGAAAGTACAAATTTTAACTTGGTGTCGTAGCCATTCAAGCATCTTTTTTCATTTATCCCAATAGTCAATAGACCAATTGTGTCAACTGCAACAATTTGCAAAATTCAATGAATGCATCGAATATAAATATCACTGTATCGTTATGCCGAAGACAATACAATGTGACAAGCAATTACTTTGGAAATTCTCGGTCTTCATTCGCAAAGTTGTAAAACAGTTCAAATACAAATCTTATAAACTCACAAATCATCAACAATTAAGTCCAGAATGTAAAATTAAAAGAACGGATTTTTGCAAAACGCTCTTTAATTTAAGAAACAATAACAAAAGCATTTTACAAAACGTCGTATTTACATTTTCATATTTTATTTGAGTCAGATTTACCTCTTATGCATACCTTTGGTTTGACATTTTATTAAATTGGTATGCAACCAACAATACTTTTTTGATTAAAAAAACACCCTGTTGATTCAACTTTTAAATATAGCGTTAATTTTAAAAAACTTTGAAATTGAAATAACAAACTTTATTTGCTTTGTATGCAACCAACAATACATTGACATTTCTGTCGACTTTAGTTTAATCATTGAATAATGACTATAAGACTATAATAAGTATTTATAGAAAACCTACCACTATTGATACCGTGGTACCTTGCTCTTCTTTCGACTTCTCATTCCATAAATTTGCACCATTTAGTTCCTTATTCTATAGATTATTCCACATTCCCCTAAGTCATGCAGCCTTTAAGAGTGAACTTGCTATCATTAAACAAATTGGCATTAATAATAAATTTCTCTGACACATTGTTATGAGAATCTTCTATAAAACTCTATATCAACATAAACTCTCCCATAAATTCATACCAATTTCCAATCACAGACTATCCCCTGCTTTGTCCTCGATCTCCTTCTTTCCTTCTCTGCCAATTTTCAAAATTTTCAAAAACTGGATTATAACATTGCTTTTAAGACTTGCTCTACCCTTTCTTTTTTGTTTGTAAGAAACAAAGATCCTATCCCTGTTTTCTCTCGTTCGGGCGTCTAGTACCATTCTATTTCTAGAAGACTGGATACATGGCGCTGATTACATTTTTTCTCTAAAATACTTGATAGATGGCGCTAATTACCTTTTTAGTTCTTCGGTACGAGTATGTACCCAGATTTACAGAAAACACAAGAGTTAGTTTTAGAAACTGTAGGTAGTAGGTAGTTATTTATAATCCAGGTTATCGCACAAAATATTTTGCCCCTATTCTATCTATGTATGTGAAAAAATATAAATTGTTTTTGTAAACAAATGGATCTATTTTGAATTAATTTCAGTTCATTAAAAGATGACCTTTCTGAACAATTTCGTTATTTATAAATTTTGTATTTGCAATAATTAGATATTATTGTTATTATTATTATTGTCTATTATCCTGTCAGTAGAAGAATATTTGCTGTTGGATAATCAATTAATCATTGAAAATTCCAACCAAATATGAAAATAAATCCGCACCAAAGACAAAACAATTTCAACATTATTTAAATTTAGCCTTTTGAAACTATACTTTAGATTCAACACAAACCACTCGTTTAAACCGCAACTGTACTTTATGCGGTAAACTGTGCATTACTCCGAAGCGACTTCTCTATTTTCAGCGCGTTTCATTCTCTCTAAACGATGACATCCTAACAGATAATCCCGGAAAAAGGTCTGCATTATGCTGTTGCCAGGATGTTAACAAGTGTGATTTATTTCCCCGTTTCCACTCACTCCGATTAGATCGTACATCAAGAAAATGCACCGGCTAAGATCGAATAAATCTCATTAAAATTTATGGTAGCGCGTAAACTTCCCCGCTTCGAGTTATTTTTCTTCGTTCTCAAAACTTGTACACTATATAAATTATTTGATCCAGCTGAAAGCTATTCCTAGTTCAATAACTCGTCGTTCGGTTCGTGAATATCACTAGTGGTGTTATTTATAACTTGCCCACCCTTTTCGGAAGCGTCATGGAGGGTTTATTAGATGTGTGATATTTATCATGAGGAGGGACGTTGACGAACGCCTTCGTCTTATCTGTGCGTCGGTTCCTGATTTGATGGTATGCAGGTAGTGAAGCGTGGAGGTCTCGAGGAAGAGATTGTTTGGAAAGGCTTTCGCTTTGACCCATTTCCGTGATATAAATGGGAGAAACGGGAGGGAATATGTCAGAATAACGAGAGAATTAATATGACGGACGTGGGTCAAGAAATATAGTTTCTATTATAGTCGCATTTTTGCTCATCTACCTACAAAATAAAACACAGATTCCAAATTACACTTTAAATGACATAAACTAACTCATTTTTCTTTTTTTTTCTTTCAGGATGCGGAGCTCTGCATAGCGTTGGCTTTTTCTCTGCAATACGTGCGACTTTGCGTGCTTTGCTGGATGCTGACGATGGCCCACCATCTGCATTCTCAGTTTAGGACAAGTTTACATTTAAATCCCATCACGGACAATGCAATCGGAAAACACTTCTTCAAGTGAGTATATTGCAAATAAAACTGATATCGTATCTTACAAACTATTTTTTTTTAGATACTCAGTGTTCGGCTGGGGTGTCCCGGGAATCCTCTTAGCTGCAAGTATCATGGTCCAGTACCACGACAAGGCCGGAAAGCTGCTCGATACTGCAAGTCTAAAGTCGCAAAACTGCTGGTAAGTAATTATATAAAGCGGATTTGGTGATTAAGTGTTCAGTTATCGAGATAATTTATCGTAGTTGGTTGGTCGGGGTTAAATCAGCGACTTGAGAAGGGTGATGACGTTTTCGTTTCATGTTAAAACGAAATGGAAACTGGGACTTATTTTCTTAAAGTGATCGTGAGGTATTGATCTAGTTGTACACAATGTGAGGGCCTATATTTACCTCATTTGAAAACTATTCATCTAAAACTTTTGTCACATTAGTAAGTCTAGTAAAAAACTTACTGTTAATGATCACCAGTGGGAGATGAACAGAATCATATCCTATTATGGGGATATAGCGTCAAAAAACCAGCATAAAGTATATATTTCTACATTACTTCAAAAAAATCGACAAACAGTCAAAAACATCGACATCGGTTCAAATGAAGAATTTCAAATAAATAATATTATCGACATCTTCAATACGTCTTCGTCAGCTTATGAATCAAGAATGTTCATTACAGTACAAATTCTTGGCAAACCAGTTAAATTTGAGTGTGATACCGGCAATCCAGTCAGCATCATTTCAAAGAAAATCTTCAATGCATTGAATCTTAAAGTGACTCTTCGAAGTACAAACATTCAATTTCGTACATGTACAAAACAGATATTTAAATACCTTTGGGTTACATACGAATACCTGTTACATATAAAAAAAAGAAGTTCATGGGAGATTTATTTGTCCTTTCTGATTATGGTACAGCCATTATGGAAAGAAGATGGATTCGAGACCTACAAATAAATCTTCATGACTTTTATTCTATTTCTATTTCTCAGCCATCAATGTCAGAAATTTTCAATCAATTCAGCGACGTTTTTCAACCAAAAGTTGGTGAAATTCCAAACTATCAATTATCAATGCTCTTTACCTCTTCGAGCCAATGCACAACCAATTTTTATTAAGCCTCGCCGAGTTCCTTACGCACTCAAAGAGAAAGTTGAACAGGAATTAGATGACTTCGAAAATCAAGGTATTATTGAGAAAACTGATCACTCCGAGTAGGGAACACCGTTGGTTATTGTGCCGAGGAAGAATCGCGACATTAGACTGTGTGCTGATCACAAAGTAACTATCAACAATCAACTTCAAGATAATCGTTATCCTATTCCCGGAGTAGAAGATATTTTCAATAAAATGAAAAATGGTAAATATCTCTGTACTTTAGACGTCTTCAAACGTATTTACATGTTCCTGTTGATGATGAAAGTACACGAATACAAACAATTTCAACTCATCGAGGTACCTATTTAGCTAAACGACTCTTCTTTGATATCAAAACGGCTCCAAATGAATTTCATCAAGTTATCGATCAAATTGTTGACGATTTAGAAGGTACCACAGCGTAGTTTGATGATATGATGGTTTAAGGTTCTTCTATTAAAGAATGTAAATTTCCTTTAATTAAAGTTCTTGAACGATTACGTAAATATAAGCTGCATCTGAATCGAGAAAAATGTCAATTTTTCAAGAAGAGAATTCAAAATTTGGGTCATGTCATTTCAGAAAAAGGACTCGAAAAATCTGAAGATAAAATCAAAGCGATCATAGAAGCACCAAAGCCGAACTCTTTAGAAGAACTCCAACGTTTTCTTGGAATGGTGATGTATTATGCAAAATTTATTCCCAGTGCATCCAGCATGTCATATCCATTAAGCCATCTGTTAAGAAAAGACACAAATTTTAAATGGTCTATCGAATGTGAAACAGCGTTCAAAAAATCCAAAGCTGAAATAGCCGGTGAACGAGTTCTCATGTCTTTTACACCTGCTTTGTCACCTCGTTTTCCAGACGGATATGGAAGACCAGATGCTTTTGCATCAGGTCGTTGACACAAGCTGAACGTAGTTATAGTCAATTGGATAAAGAGGCAACAGCCATTTATTGGAGTTTCAAAAGATTTTTTCATTATATTTATGGAAGGAAATTTATTCTAATTGTGGATAATAAACCACTGAGTATTATTTTAAACCCTCAAAAACAACGTCCAGCCTTATCTGCAACGAGAATGTTAAAATATGCACAATTTTTATCCGGTTTCAATTATTCCATCGAATGTCGAAAATCTAGTGAACATGTAAATGTTGATTATTTCTCCAGAAGTCTATTGAAATTATCACCAAAAGAAGAAGAAAAAACTGATGATGAATACGTGTTAAATATGATTTTAGTTAATCAGATTAGTACGGAAACAGTCACAGCTCATGAAATTGAAAAAGAAGCAAGAACAGATCCAGAATTATGTAAAATGAAGAAAGATATTCTAAATGGAACTAATTCCAGAAAAAAATTACAACTATAATATGATTCATTTATTTAAATGTACAAAACATCAACAAAATTAAACATTCAGATACTATTTTTTATCTGTCAACCCTTTTTGTTAATCAGCCCACTCTTCCTTTTTTAATCAAAACTAAGTTCCGTTACAAACTCCCCCTCTAAATAACACAAACGGGCCTCTGGTGTTGTTTAGGATGAAACATTCTTTTTAGGACGACCCCTCCTCCGTTTTGGTATTAAGGGCGTTAATGTATCACTTCTAGTCCTTTCAACAAACGGGCAGAGGTCCGCGGCGTGATGGCGTCCAATTCTTTCTGGAGGATTTGTACAGCTTCCTAACTCGTAGGTTGTAGGAGAAGCAATTCGCAAGATCATATAAGGACCATCCCTTTTTGGGGCAAGCTTTGAAGATAATCCACTTTTGGAGCTACTGAAAGTATGAGATTTCAGGAGAACCTTGTCACCCTTCTTGAATACAGCTGTTCGTCGTCTGGAATCTAGACGGGTTTTCTGGACATCTTGTTTCTTGCAATTTCTATCCATTGCCTCAGACAGAGTAGTAGCTAGCTTTTATAAGTAAGGAGTTATTTTTGGTATGAAATTTTCTGCATCAATCTCTTTGCGTAGATCATATACAGGATCATAAGGAGCTCGTATCTCCCTACCAAATGTGAGAAACGAGGGACTATATCCCGTAGAGTCGCAACATGTAGAATTTATGGCGAATCGAATGCTGCTCAGGTGATGATCCCATTCTGAGTGGTGATCTTGAACCAAAATGGCTAACTGAGTCTTCAATTTGCGGTTCTTCCGTTCAATAGGGTTACTCTGTGCATGATACAAAGGAATGAACGGAGTTGTGATACCAAAACAATAAGTATTTAGTGCATTACATCACTGATAAATTGTACGCTGTTATCAGAAATCATTTTCCTCGGAGTTCCAAACCGCAGGAATAATCAGAATTTTTGCACAAGATTCAGAGTCAGCTTTTACTAATGGGAAAAGTTCTACCCATTTTGAAGCAACATCCTCAATTATTAGGATCCATCGATTCCCCCTGGGAGTTGCCGGTAGAGGGCCAAATAGATCTACAGCCACAACTTCGAATCTCTGGGAAGGGGCTGGGGTTTGAAGTAGGCCCGCAGGTTGACGATTCTCTGGTTTATATCTCTGGCATTCCATACAACCTTTTACATGGTGAACAATATATTTTCTCATATCTGTGAAGTAAAATTTTGAAGAGATCTTTTGAAGGGTTCTTTTGATGCCGTAGTGTCCCCCTGTAGGCGAATTATGGTATTGGGCCAAAACATCTTCACACAATTCTTTGGGAATCACTAACTGGGGAACTTAAGAGTCCACATATGGGTTGAAACGGAAGAGAACACCATTGTTCATCACGTATCCCCTCCCAGACCATCTAGACATCTCTAACGGATCTTCTCCTTCGAGAGATAATATAATACTCTTGATCTCATCGTCTTCCATTTGTTTCTGTCGCATAGATTTAGCATCGTATGACGGTAGGTCAACACTAACGAAGTAGCTCTGTACCTTTTCTTCTTCATCCGAGCAAAAAGGTCGAGACAACGGATCAGCTACTACGTTGACTTTACCAGGAGTATATACAACGTCCATATTCATGCCTTAAAGGCGGAGCGCCCAACGAGCCAAACGACCCGAAGGCGATTTTAAAGTCAGCAACTACCGTAATGGTTGATGATCCGACGCTGTAACCACTTCAAACCGGATCTAAATCTGTCCATCAATCGAACGAATGTCGCGGGCGCGTTTTCCAACCCGAAAGGCATTCGATTGAATTTAAACGTCCCAAATGGAGTCAGAAAGCAAGTTTTGTCACAATCTTATTCACCAACAAGAACTTGCCAGTAACCTGCTTGTAAATCAATTGTAGACATGAATGGTGTATGTTTAGCGGTGTGAAAAATATCGTCTATTCGTGGCATTGGATAACTATCGCTTACCGTTACTGAGTTTAGCTTACGATAATCTATGCAAAGACGATAGCTGTCTCCTTTTGGAGTTAAAACCACAGGGCTGGACCATGGTGACTCGCACTCTTCTATAATTCCTTGTGTTATTAATCGATTCAATTCTTCACGCAGAAATTGCTTCTTTGGTCCGTTCAGCGGGTACGGTGGTACGGAGATTGGTACAGCATTTTGTGTGTTAATTCGATGCGTGGCAAACGTAGTTTCTCCCCCTTCTTCGAAGATGGTGCTATTCTTCTGAAGTAGGGTGTTTATTTCATCTTTTGCCGTGTCTTTAATCTTCTGAGCTTCATTTTGGCGTAGGGTTATGGGATTAATGTTTACGGAGTTTGTTTTAATTCCATATTTGAAAGTATGTTCTGGTTTATCTCTAAAAAACCAACACTCGTTTTGGAAATCTATACCAATGTTAGCTTTCATCAAAAATTCCCGCTCTAAGAGCTTATGGTTCTGGGTTAAATATGGCATTATAACAAAACTAGTTGGAGTTATTTTGTCTTTTATCTTAACGTCTACATTTGTTACCAGTAGTTTCTTATCTCTAGGAATTCCTTCAGCTAATGTTACCACTGCATCCACTGTTTCAAACTTAACTCCCTTATCTTGTAACACCTTATAGAGGGTGTGACCAGCTATGTTTCATTTTGATCCTGAATCGGCGAGTCCAATTCCTT